CACAGAACACACTCCACATTGTGAACAATCACGTTTTCAACGTTGAATCAATTCAGATTTTTTTTAAAAAAATCACTTTTCTAGAAAAACCTAGGAACTCTAGACATTTTCCACAAAACGGAAGCATAAACTTGTTTGAGGGCTTGGCCATATTGATGATAGCTTATGGGGGGGGAACATGCAAAACACACCTATAAAAACCACGAGGTTGTATTTCTAAAAATAGCACCCAAATCAACACAGTGTCCTTCAGTTATCACTCGGGAAGGCTATGGCAAAGCGAAGATTGCATTTCTCTTTTAAGGAAATGTATTTATTTATTGGAGGCTGTTTCCAGTATTTCATGCTTGTAAAGCACTTTGTTACTTAGACATTCAAATCACATACACGGACAATCCCAGACACTAGCCAGTATGATCAGTGAGCCATTGTATTTATCAGAAATTGACATTTCAACCAATTTCTGAAAACCAGTTGGGTATGAACTCACTAGTAAGCGAGGAAATAAAGACAAACATACATTACACCCAACAAATGGATTCATTTCCTTTTGTTTGTCCCTGGGGGCCTCATGCAATGCTTCGCATTTTCATAGCTGTTTCAGTGGCCACTCTCTGGGAACACTGAATTCAGTTTAACCACCGGACTTCTGTAACCGTTGGAAACAGATCCACAAATCAGTTTATCCCACTTTTACGGTTAAAGGAAAATCAAAATACAAAAACATCTGTATGTCTCACCTCCCATCAAACCTGTGCTTCAGGAAATCAAAGAGGGCTTTCTGCATCATGTCTGTTACCTTCACAGAGGGGAGGAAAACAAGAATGAGGCAAACGCACGGAGAGAGAGAAAGGGAGGGAGAGACACACACACAGAGAGAGAAGTCAATGGTGAGAGAGGTGGAAGGGAAGGGCACAGTGACTGAGGAGAAACCCCATCACATCCAGACACAGGTGCTAAGGGCTCCCTTGGCTCTTCTCCAGGGTGCTGAAGAATACATTCATATTTTTCACCAGGACCCCAGGCAAACCCTCCTCCTTCGTCCCTTAGGATGTCCATCTGCCCCAAGGAGACCATAAACTGGCTATGCACAAGAGGGCTGGCCATCTTCACATGGTGGGACTATGCTTGCCTTTAGTGTTGGGTAGTGGGCAGTCCCAGTGCCAGCTCTGGGCTCAGCTACCCCAGTCTGAGCATAGTGGAAAGTCTCCCTATTTGAGACTTAATGTTTTTGTACATAATTTTCCTGCTCATCACCTGACGTTTCCGTCTTGGAGCGAGAAAGAGAGATGAGAATTTTAGAACTGGCCCAGGAACGTTTTTAGCTCACTCAGTAAATGTTTACTAAATACCTCCTTCCTCCAGACATCATCCTAGCAGGGGTTCAGTTGATCTGAAGGTTGCCCAGTTTCAGATTTAGAGCTCACACCCCACCTGTTTTTTTTCCATTCAAACACAAGGTGAGAATAGCAAAATCTGAGATGTCATGCAACACAAACTTTACTCCTCTTTCACACGGCAACGTCTAATTGCTCTCCAGAGTTTAATCTAGTTTTTTTTTTTTTTTTTTTTTTTACTGGTTTTCCCCCACCACCTGCCTTCACCTTCTGTGAGCTGCCTTCTACCACTTCCTATCCGTAAACAGACCTGGGAGGGGTCAGATCCCGAAGGATGGTCCCCAGGGTTCTTGGTCAAGAAAAGGAGAGTAACAGATAATTTGTACCTCATAACCTTTCAGGGATGGCCCCACTAACACCACAGGACGCATTGATGGCACAACATCGTAGGGAGGGATGTGCTCCGTCTGAAAAAGACACGTCAACACGAGTGAGAAGGGACGACCGGGCCTCTCTCATTGACGGCCACAACATCAGGAATTCTCAGGCTGAACGGTAAGGGATGCCTAAGGGTCCCCACCGAGGAGGCCCATCCCTCAAGAGGTATGCGGGTCACGGACATGGAGCATCGCAGGCATGGATGGATAGGAACCTTAGCAGGCGTTTAGGAAAGGAAACACAACTTACCACTTTCTGCTTCTGTTTGGCTAAAAGACAACAATGAGAGCCACATCAAAATATGCAATCTCTGCAAACGACAGCGCGCGAGCTTAAAGGCTGGGAGAAGCCCTGTCACTGCCCTCCGGGCTTGCCTTACACCCACTCAGGAGATCACTGCCCTGCCACTTCGTCCCGGACATGCTACTCGTGAGAACATGAGCTATGGATTGCTTCTTCCCCGCACCAATGACCTGGCATTGCAGTTTCCTGTGAAAGCCTAGCACAGGCACTCAAACAATACAGGAGGTTGTTAGCTAACCATTAACGATGGGTGTGCCCACATTGGATGTGGCACATATGAAGCGGAGGGCAAGTTGGCTAAAGGAAATGTAATCAAGAGAAACAATACAATGTGAGCAAAATTGCTACCACCTCAGACATTACTAATATTGTTGTTGTTGCCATTGTTCTGTACTTGTGCGTTTGGTGAACCATGAGGTACTATGACAGATCTTCAGGTATTCCTCCAGCTGGAAGAGTGAAAAGCCATTGTAATGTCCCAGTGTCCAGCAAACATACAAAGGGCAGAACCTAATCCACAACCAATGAAGGTGGCTTTTCTGTCATCCAAGCATTAGGTCCTGTCAACATGGGGTCACCGAGAGGGACATGTTGGTTCTCAGCCCTGGAGGTCAGCATGAATCCTCACAAACAAGGACTAAGTCCCCAGAACTGCCCCAGCATCAACCCAGCATTGACATGAACTGCAGAGCCTTGACCTGCCGTATGAACTGGCGACATTGAAGGCTCTCATACAGCCTCAGTTCCTGGCCAGAGTGAAATTAGCTTTCAGGAGTCAGAAAATGTGATGGGAGAGAACTTTCTAGGAGAACATCTTCATTAAATCCAAAGACACACAGAGGCTTTATTGAGATACCCTGTCTCTTCATTGCATCCATTCTGGGACTCAACTGGGACTGCCTGATGTCCAATAATAAAGACAAGGTAATCTTGGCTGCAGGGGGGCCATATGACCCGCAGTATGGACAACCTGGTCCCAACATGGGCTACAGTCTCATCTACCTACAGAACATTGTTGTGACAATCCATGAGCTTTTATATCTACGGGCCTCACAATCTTGAAGTACCTTGAGTTCTTGAGTAGAGTAATGAACTCAAGGTTGGTTTATACATGGAGAAGTAGTGGGTATAGGGGGCGAGTGAGACTTTTCAAAATTATACTGATGACCTGAATTTTGTTTCATTAGTACATTTTAAGTCAAACTAGAATTCAAATGAGCAAGGAAATCTTAAATAAAAGAAGCCTTACGTTTTCAATCAAACCTTTATTCCCAAATCAGTAAGAACATCGGCACACGTGCTCTAGCGTTTGGGAGCAAGCCCGCTCACCTGTTGTTGTGGGGGTCGCTCGAAACGTCCCTGACACCATTTCTCCGAGACTGGAGGAAGAGTTTCCACTCGATTTCCTAGAACATAGAAACAAATTTAAGACTCTTGCCCTAGATCTTCTGAAAACAGAAACTGGGAATCCAAGGTGTTCTTTGGCCTTCTACTCAATAATTCAAAGCATACCAAGACCTGCTGGAAGAGCTTCAAGAATTTGCTCTAGTGATTTCTCTGACCTCAGAGGAAGTGGAGATCTCATCGAGACCTGGAAATACTTTGCAAGTTCTCTTTTCTGGTTATTCGTACAAAAATTGAGCAGAGGGACCCCTGGTGAGGATGCTCTTTGGAGCTATGTGTTTACCCTAAGAAGTGTTTACCTATTGAAGTATCAGTCAGAGGCCAGACAGCTTAGAACAAGCAAGAGGACCCCAAGAACTTCTCCTTAAAAGTTTAACTGGGGGCAGGGTGGGGGGGCAGTGTTCCACAACCTGTTCCTAATGCCAACAGTAAGAGCTATCAGTCATGATTCATATATGTTCATAGGCCAATGATGAACAGTTCTGTCACTTACTGGCTATGGAGCATATCGTGATACATCCTGAGTGTTGGTTTTCCCCATCTACGGACATAGACATTACTATACCTTACAGACAGAAGCATGACGAAAGAACTTCTGTGAATGAACCATTGGTTTTATTGTTTCTCGTGCCTCGAAGTAAATTTTATGCGTGTGTATTTATATATGTATGTATATATATATGTATGTATATATGCATGTATTAATAACAGCCACAACGGTGGGAGATTGTTAGTGAGCCACATTCTAGCAGGAGACAATCAAGGCTAAACTAGAGAAAGAGATAAATATCTAATTTCCTAGAGTAGTAAGTGTAAGAGAAACAGTTAAGTTGGGAAGGGATGAAAAATGCAAGGAAGAGGTGAGCCTGGAGTGGGTACAAGTTAAAATAGTGCAGGGAAGGAAGGGCTCACTGGGACTGTGGAGCAAGAACCTGAAAGAGATGAAGCGATCTGGTAACAGTCAAGGAGGAAGAGGGGTCTCGGTAGAAGGGAGGAGCTGCAAAGGCCCCAGGGAAGAGCCAGCTGTGCTAAGGAACATGGAGAACGAAATGTCTAGAGCAAAGGGCACCAGAGGGTTAATAATAAAACATCAAAACAGAAGATTAATCATTAGAAGGGAGGTGAACGGTGCTTCTGAGAGTTGCCATGACTACTGAAAGGTTTTCATTAGGATAGCAGGGAAGGAAGACTTAAATAACACACCGGTTTCTTAAATACAAAAATTGATTGAAAAGCAAGATTGAATCAGAAGAACTGCTTCAGCCAGACATGACGGTCACAGTGATGATCCAGGGCTAGGGCGCGGGGCTGGTGCGGAGCTGCCTCACCAAAGACAAGCCAAGACTACAGAGCAGGACTGTCTCAAAGCAATGGTAACAGTAACAGAACTTTAGAAAACTTCGAATACATATGAAATCAGTGCTTCAGTGAGCTCCAGTGAGACCCAGGTCCAGAAGGCCAGGACCTTCTCTTAGGCTCTGCTCACCCTCCTGGAACCTGCCCCTTGCACTCTGAAGCCTGGGTGCTGTTTTCTTTGACCATAGAGGCGGGTGCATTGCAAATCCCCAGCACAGTGTCAGCTGAAGAAGATGGCGCAGGAAGCCAAGCAGAGAAAAGTGTCCCCAGGACTGTCCACACACCTTCAGCTTCGGGGCCCACTGGACAGAGGTTTTGACAGGGAACCAAACAAAACCACAACTCTCGGTCATGTCAGTTGCAACCTGAGCTGTCCTGAGAATTGAGGCCCCGGGGAATCCCCCCAGAAGAAAACTGGGGTTCGGAAATGGGTTTCCTGAGCCCACAGGAAGCAGCTTCGACTGTGGAGTTTATGTGGATTTCTGAGTTGCTGTGGTTCAGAACACAGTGGAAATGGTTAAACCCCAAACGTTTGTGTCCTCCTCAAGAACAGCCTTACAGTATGCAGGTAAGGGTCCCTTTGCCTTAAAAGCAGGTTTTCATTGGGGTGAAGACAAAGAGAGCCTGAAAGAACACGTTGCTGAGAGAACAGAAACGCCAGCAGAAAACAGAGGGTGAGATAAAAGAACAAACCGCTTCGGCCAGTTTTTAATGAGAAACTTGAAAATAGTACCCAATTTCCCCACAACAAAAAGAAGCAAGGAAGGAGAAAGGGAGAGATGAAAGAGGGAGGGGGAGAGAGTGAGGGAGGAGGGAAGGGAGAGAGGAAAAGAGGGAGAGGGAGGGAATGAAAGAGGGAGGGAGAGAGGGAAAGAGGGAGAGGGAGGGAATGAAAGAGGGAGGGAGAGAGGGAAAGAGAAAGAAGGAAGGAAGGAAAGAGAGGGGGAGGGAGGGATAGAGAGAGGGAAGGAATGAGGGAATGAAAGAGGGTGAAAGGGAGGAAGGGAGAGAAAGAAGGGAGGAGGGAGGGAGGGAGGGAGGGCAGGCCAGCTCATGGAGAAGACAGATGTTACCCGCCATGAAATCGGCCCCTTTTCTGCTCCTGCTGAATGCGTATGTTCTCCAGCCGCAGCGGACTCGGGATGAAGCCAATCTCGCAGCCCTCTTTAACCAGCCTTCCTATCCACCAATCGTTGTTATATTTCTGGAATGCAGAGAGGAAAGCTGCTATCAATAGTAATTCAGTTATCCTCATGTTTCAGTAGCTAATTCCAGGGAAGCCAAGGGCTCCAATGCTATTCGTCTGGTCTACAATGCCACATTGTACATACAGTGCAGAGACAACCAACACCCTGCTTTTGCATTTTGTGGGCAATGTTTTCAGCCCACAGACTAAAGGAGGATTCTTCAGGGTTTTATTTGTAATGGCCCAGCTGGTACATACGGTCTCTGCCGTAACTCACGGATTCTGTGGCCTTACTGTGAGAATAGTCACAACCACTCGAGAGCATGGCTGCAGTTCACTCTAAGCGTCAGCAGCATGGTCTTACTCAGGGGACCAGCAAAACTAGGTTGGCAGTTATTCGTCTGCTGGGGCCTCAAAGAAATGTTCCTTCTGTAATTTCTAGAAAATAGATAGAAATCACGTTGTTTAAACCTCCAAGGAAAGAGTACAAAGGCCCCTCCGTGATCTTTATCAGTGTTGATAAGAAACTCTTTTCTGTGTGTGTGTGTGTGGTGTGGTGTGTGTGCGTGTTCTACAACACATACCAACTCTAGGAGGCGTTCTGAGCTCAGAGGAAAGTGGAATTTACATAACTCTAACACTGACACTGTGACAAGGCAGAGTGAAAGGTGCGCTGAATCATCACAGCACGGAATTCAGAGTAACTTGACTAGCTCTAAGTACCAATCTCATATTCAAACGCAAGCGACATGGCAGGACTCAGCCCTTTCTGCACAGAGCTCCTGCAGAAAGAAGCCAGGCGCTGTGCCAATCAAGAGACTGAGCTGAAGGGAGCCTGAGCTGATGTGATAGAACGCCTTGAACAATCTGGGTCTTAGTTTCCTGTCTTTAATTCAGGGGAACACACCTGAAATAACAAACCTGTTTATTCTGTAATTAGGAAAAGGCAAGCGGGCCCTTTTGGACTCTTTTGGTGCGCACATTTTACTGTGGCGGGGACAACACAGACATGAGTCAGGGTTTCCTGGGGTTTTAGTTATTTCCTGAAATTAAGTCAGCCCACTGGGACATTAATTTGTTAAGTGGTATCCCAGTGACCTGAAGGGCTGCCTAAGATGCTAATGCGACTTCCCAAAAGGGTTCACTCTGGTTCTAGGAAACAGATAAAGAACACTGAGCTTCTAACTCAATGTGAGTGACAGTTCTCTGGCCACCAGGAAGCCAGGCGCTGAGCAAAGTCACCAGCTTCAGCCCTCCCTGTTTGGTTTCAGAGCAGGCACAATCGTGGCTTTTCTTGACCTTTAACCCTTCACATTACTGAGAAAACAGAACGTGCGCGGCTGCCTGAGAGACGGCACGAGAGGAAGGACTGGGCCTGCTACAGCAGCCTGCCCTTCCACGTGGCTGGCGTCCCAGGGGTTGAGCCAGCTTTCTGGAAAGGCCCCCTGAGCACGGTTCCAATCTTGCCTGTTTTGCTTTCCCTAAAGTGATTAGCATGTTCTCATTCCATGTTGTTTTTTATTTGACCTGCAAGACTTGAAAACAAGTGGCTCTGAGCCACGTACGATGACCGGATCGGTAGGTACACTGGGGAAGAAATAGGAGCTGCCAGATGGAAGGAAAATCCCTTGCTCAACAGCTCACAGACTCAACAGCTATCAGCAAGACACATCAAAGAATTCTCAGAGCAGCTCGAAGGGGCCACACGCAAAGGAAGGGCAGGCTTTTGCAGCAGGCCGAGTCCTTCCTCTCGTCCGCTGCTGCAACACCTGGCCCCTTTTCTGCCATCTCTGTTTCAAAAGCTGAATCTAGAGGCTGACGCTACTTCCTGTAATTCCAAGAGACTTTGAGAAGCTGACCTCCATCCTTTATTCCGGCCCCCTCACTTTCTCCACTATACACACTGGAGTGAGACCCCCCCCCCCACGTTAGACCCCTCCATGTCTCCTTTGCCCATCACAGCTCCCACTCCCAATACAAGGCTGGTCACATGTCTGATTTATCCCAAATTACTTTCCAGCCCACTGGCAAGACCAGACTCCTGCTCTGGCTCAAGATGCTCCTTTTAAAATCCGGCCCTTTGGACTGGAGATAAGAGCTCAGCTGTAGCGTTTGCGCGGTGTGCATGAGGCCTGAATTCCACCCCCAGCACAGCTGATAGAAAAGCCATGTTTCTTGAATCACCGACACAGACCCTGCTGTTTCGCTACTGCCCTCTGGCCACTCTGCAGTGCTGCAGGAGGTCCCTTCCCTGATGCCACTCTGTGCCCAACTCGGACTCTTCCTCCATACTGATGCCGCCTTCCCATTCTGTGAACTTCCAGGACACCGGTCCATGTTTTTTAAATAGTAGAATTTATCAATCCATACAGAAATCATCGATACTATTCGCCCCGCCTCTCAACTCAGAGTTCCTCACCCGTAGCAGCGCCGTCTCATCCTCCAGCACAGAGCACAATGCTGGGTACCAAACAGAACTCCACTGTACCTAGGCTGACCACAAACTTAAGCTTCTGGTGTGATGATTTCATTGTCGTACCTTTCTATAAGTGAGGTCTCAAGTCCTCCTTACAATGCTCACTGTTTCCGAGAGTTCTCTGCTCCTTTCTTAACTTCAACAATGTGAAGACCACAGTTCTATCATGTGGGTCTAATGTGTGTGTGGGGGGGTCTCACTCCACGGTGTCATGATAATACCCCTCTGTAAAAAGTCCCTCCTAGATACTGCTATGCTATGAAACTCACGCTTCCTTAAGTTACACCCATAGATCCATGGGTCTATAGTCCCACAGGTGCGCCTGCAGTGTAACCTACACTAGACCCTGGGTTCGGTTCCTAACAAGAGAGAGAGAGAGAGAGAGAGAGAGAGAGGCAAAACCTAAAATTCATTGCATCATTTCAAACGCTGAGTAGGCCCCCGTGTTGGAATGCAGGCGATGATCTCAGCTTCTAAATCTCAGCCAGAGGAAAGGATGGAGAGGCCCAGGGCATTAACCGAGCTCCCCCCCCCCCCCCGCCCCGCACTGGCTGCTCCCTGGGCCTCCTCTCCTGTGTGTCACAAGGCCCCCCTGCACTGGCTGCTCCCTGGGCTTCCTCTCCTGTGTGTCAGGCTCAGGCTGATTCCCAGCTGTAGCTCTTTGCCAGATGAAGGGGTGCAGTACGTCCTACATTTACCTCTTTAATGTGAAGAAAGTCCTTGGCATCGAAGGAGATGGCTGTGCTGGGAACGGGCACATCCTCATCCAGGGCGCCGCAGTAGCTCACGTTCGTTTTCACGGCAAACGCTACAGGTTTGGACTGGAGGCAGCCGTGCGGAAGGAGGAGGGAGGAGGAGAGAGGAACATTTGTCACACTGAAACATGTCACAGGATGAGTGATGGTTCCAGGAACGAGGGAAGCACTTTCCACAGAGGGATCGCCGCTGGGTTTTAGAGTCGCGGGCCACATCCAGAAATCTGCAGCGATGACGCTGAGAAGGACTCATTCCTCTCAGCTCAGCCATTTCCCTTCTTCTGTAGTACTTTCTAACATCCCCAATAAAGAGCTAGCCCCTACAGGACTGGGGACAGAGGGACAGGGGTGGGGACTGTCTGCTTTGTTCTCTACTCTCACAAACTATTTATTTAAACGGTAACAGATACTGTCCCAACTGTGAGATACAGGGCATGTACACTGGGGTACCGGGAATGCTAGGAAGTCAGCTCAGTTGATGAAGTGCTTGCTGCACAAGAACAAGGTACTGAATTCAGATCCCCAGCATCTCTGACAAAAGCTGGGTGCAAGGGTGCGCATCTTTAACCTCAGCACTGGAGAGGCAGGGACCAGAGGATCCCTGGGGTTAGCCGGCCAGTCTAGTCAGATGGTGAACTCCACGTTCAGTAAGAGCCCTGTCTTAAATGTTAAGTTGGAGAGTGGTTAGGAAAACACATTAACCTCTGACCTGCACACACATGCACATAAACATGCATGTGCACACTCATAGGTATACACACACACACACACACACACACACACATGAACAGGTCTACACATAGAAGTAAAACAGGCTAGGAAATGTACGCTGGGTATTAAAAACTTGAGGAGGGGTAGAAAACAAGATTTTTTTTTATTTTAAAGAGCCTCAGATCTGAAAACCATAGATATTTTGTAGCTGAATCTCTTGTCTTGCCAGGCCCAAGGGGCCAGTGTGAGTTAAACCTAACAAGCAGGCTCTTCACCTGTCATCTCCTAGCTTCTAACAGTTGGTTTTAAAGCCTGTATATAAACTCCTGTTGGCAAAGCGCTCCTGAGCAGTGCAGCCTGTGGGGATGAAGCCAGTCACAAGCCCAGGCTATGGTCCTGCCACCACCGTTTACCTGGGTGATCCCACAGTAACGAAACAGGTGGTGAAGGGTTTTTCAAAACAACAACTGGCAACATGTGAGATCCACGCTCTCCGAGCTCCTGGGCAGCTGTGCTGTAGACTTATCTATTTGCACTGGGAATGTCAACAGCTGAGGTAGGACCCACATCAGACGGGCTTTAGCTCCCTCCAGGGCACTATGCAGATGCTCTGCTATCAGGGAGCACAGACGGCACAGAGTGTGGAGGCCACCAGCACAGACACAGAGAGCGGGGAAGCTGACGCCTCGTCCACCCGTCCCATTCTTCTCTTGCTTCGATCGCTAAACGATCTCATCATAAAATAAAAAAAAAAGAAGGAAATTAACTTTATTTGGGTTTGAGTCTAAAATTCAGAAAGGTGCCTGCCATAGCATAGGAGCTGGCCATGGGAGTAAGAGGAGAGGCTAGCCACGAACGCTGTCTTCCGTGTTGTTACTGTGCATAAAATTAATTTGAAAAAAGGTCTGTTCTTTAAAAAAAAAATGAGTTATAAAGACATAGGTAGAACAGGGGAACTCTTCCAAGTCATCTGGTCCTAAAACTCCATCATGTAATTGGTTTCCACGGCACCCTGTGTGTCGGCTGGAAGAGGAGGAGCTAAAGCTTCTGTCACTCCCCTTTGCTGCTCTCATTTGACTTATTCAAAGTTCTAAACCAGGTCTGATGGTGCATGTCGGAAGGCCATGTATTAAGTCCACAAGTTCAAGACCAGAGTGGGCAATGTAGTGGACCCCTTCTCAAACAAGCCAGCACACAAAGTAATGTCCTGGACTTTATACTGAGATGGGAATCTGAAACCTAGAATTCAAAGACTAGAGGAAGCTGTGGAATGACCCATAACACAACGGTGCCTGTTTGGTGTATAACAAAGATGAGGGAGTGACGGGGAGGGGTCAAAGACAGAGAACTCGGGCTGGCAGCTCAGAAGGCTCGCTGCCAGTCCTGGGTGAGGTGAGTTTGATATTGCCACACTGCTAAGTTGGGAAATGACCGACAATTACCAGTAAGTCAAACAGAAAAAAAGCAAAGGTTCACAGGAAATGGCCCCCTGCAATTGCCACCAACCTCTGTGAGGGGAACACACTCAGAGAACCTTGCAATCTGAACCCTTATCAGGATGGCTGGGAAGCAAGTTCTCCGGAGACAGCACCATGCTGTTTAATTTTATAACAACTTGACATACGCTACAGTCATTTGAAAAGAGGGAATGTCGTTTGTAAAAAATGCTCCCACCAAATCAGCCTATAGGCAAAGCCTGGGGAGCATCTTCCTGATTAATGATTGATGTAGAAGGGCTCAGCCCATTGCCGGAAGTCTCACACCGCCGGCAGGTAGTCCTGGTTGATATCAGAAAGTAAGCTAAGCAGGCCACAGAGAGCAGCCCGTAAGCAGAATTCCTCCGCTGCTCTCACTTCAGTTCCTGCCTCCAGGTTCCTGCCCTGCCTGAGATCCTGCTGATTTCCCTCGGGGAGTTGTCAGCTGATGAACTCTTTCCTCCCACATGGCGTATGGTCAGTATTTATCAGAAACCCCCAGGCAGATGTGAGGTAGGATGCTGAGCACAGGGTTTGAGCAATATGCCAGTTTTCAACAAAAGAAAGGGGATGCGGGGGGGGGGGGGGTCACCTTTGCTCTCTCAAGCTGTATAGCTGCTTGCTGTTCTCTCTCTTGCCGAATCGCTTCCCGGTCCTCTTCCAAAGAGACATCGGAATCCGACGGCCTGCTTGTATAGGAATCTGCGGAACCCTGGGGAAAGAGCACAGAAGGCTTAAGTGGGGTAAAGTGTAGCTTCTGGCATCAGCACAGTCATAGCAGAATCCTGGGTGAGTGAGTTTTTCCACTGCCACGGAACTCAGTGCCCACACACAGAGCCTTGCTGCAGACGTAGCCAAGCATCTGTCTTATGTGGAAGGTAGCATGTAGTGGCATTTCTTTGGCATCGCAATACATGAAGCTTGCCTAAGGATCAGAGAGTAAAAGGGCCCACTGGTCAGCCTCACAGACCAAGCAGTGATGGCACACACCTTTAATCCCAGTAGCCACACTAGTTGTCATAGAAACCAGGCGGTGCATGCCTTTAATCCCAGCCCTAGAGAGGAATATAAGACGGGAGGAGACAGCTCTCCGACACAGTCTCATTCTGAGATTCCTGGGGGAAGGATCGTCACTTCGGACTGAGGTCGAGGTAAGAGCCAGTGGCTGGCTGTTTTGCTTTTCTGACCTTCAGGTTGAACCCCAGTTTCTGTCTCTGAGTTTTCATGAATCGTGCTGCAGTAGCAATGTTGTGAAGGGAAACACTGCGACTAGATTGGGACTAGGACAGAAACTGCAATGAGAACAATGTGGTCTTCAGCCCTTATTCTCGTTTGGCGTCATCTGTATATCGGGCTGATAATTGCTCATGGCTGAAATTCCCTCTCTTGCACACACAGCTAAGTGCCAAGGGAAACCCGGGCTGTTTATAAGGGCTACAAGGTAGGCCAGTCCTTCACATAAAAGTCTGCCAGGTATTCTAGGCCTGGAGGCCAAAAATGAATGTCCCACCATTGCAGAGGATCCTTGGGTGACTGTCCAGGCCGTCAGCTGTCTCTGTCATTTTTATAGCTTGGGATGTTATTAGCTCTGCACTTCCTGTTTACTCAGGCAATATTTTAACCTTCTCAGGTCTGTGATGGGGTTGAAGACTAGGTAGTTATACCATTTTCTTTGTTACCGAATTTAAAAAAAAAAAGAAGCCTACAGAACAGATGTGAAGTGTATAATGTTGAGAGACATAAAAGCTAAAGTTGTTTATCTAAGAAAATGTTTTGAGGCCTAAAAAGATATTTTTAGGATGGTAATACAGGTTACGGTAGAAAGTGAATTAGGTACAAAACTATCTCACCAAGATAGGATAGATAACAGAATATTTTCTCAAACTGCCAAATACAAATGGACTGAACATTGTAAATATAATTTTTATACCTGATAATTGTTCTTATTTTATATAGTTTTGTTGTGTTAGAGTTAAAACCCTTTTCTTTTTATTTAGATAAAAAGGGGGAAATGTGAGAAAATCTTTTTGTACAATGTAAAGATGTATCTCTGTCTAAGGTATCTTCTGATTGGTTTAATAAAAAATTGAACAGCCAATAGCTAGACAGGAGAGGATAGGCAGGACTTCTGGGCAGAGAGAGAAGCTGGGAGGAATCTAGGTGCTCAGATTTTGCCAGCAGACTCAGAGCAGGTGGGACAGGCTGTACTGAGGAAAAGTAAAGAGTCATGTGGCAGAATGTAGATGTAAAAACCATAGGTTAATTAAGTATATGAGTTA